CTTCATGGGTACCGAGTCATACGAGGGGCTACCAGTTTGATGCACTCTTCTGAAATAACAAATTTGCTCAGTTTGCATTAAGTTATATATTATTATTAATCATAAATGATACTCATCTATGTGAAGACACTGATCACGTTAATGATTTCTCACAATAATTATCAACAATGACTTAACAAGGTGGGAAACAGATAATATCAATATTCAACACTTTATTTCTATTAATCTCAGCAATTGTTTACATTTTCAGATGATCACTTCTACAACATTTCATAAGAAAAATGTTCCATTTTCACGAGCCACTGACAAACCCTTTTAACAAATCATAGTCAATAGTCAACTTCAATATGAGAATACAAATTTGACGGTATAATTAAAAAAAAAAATTGAATTAGAAACACATATCAGATTTCAGACACAGCTCACTGGTGAGTTGTGTTTTTAGAACAGGCCTGCGGGCTACTCATGTGGTCCCTGGGGGCTACCTGGGGGCTACCTGGGGGCTACCTGGGGGCTACCTGGGGGCTACCTGGGGCCCGCGGGCACCGTGTTGGTGACCCCTTATCTAGATGCTTGATGACGGATGAGGAGCAGCTGGTGAGGCTCTGCTCTGACTCCGGTGTACCTGCAGGTAATCACACACAGGAAGAACACACTCTGGGAGTGGTAGCAGGTTAGCAGTTCCAAGAACTAGAGGTAGAGGGCGTGGTAGGAGCAGTTCGAGGGGCAGATGTAACATTCACAGTGAGTTCAGCTGTTTGGACAAAAAAGTTTAATCCTGAAACAACTTTCAATCCTCAACTAAGTGAATACGTTTTAGTTACTGGAATGGAGACAGGGGCTGGGGTAGGTCTCATCACATGTTTCATTGTAACAAAGCCAATGTCTGCCAGTTTATGTTAAATCCAGATGGCCTCCTTGCTTTATTGCTCAAAAATAATTTCTGTGGAATGCATTGCACTGGTTGTATATATGGTAAATGGTCTGTATTTATATAGCGCTTTTCTAGCCTTGATGACCATTAAAAGCACATTACAGTCTGCCATTCACACATACCTCCATACAGTACATCTATGGGCAGCACTTTCTTCAATGAGAAGCCATTTCGGAGTTCAGCATTTTGCCCAAGGACACTTCAGCATGCAGATGGTGGAAGTATGGGATAGAACTGCAGACCATCTGGTTGGAGGCAGGGTTATTATAGTTAACGAAGACTAAAACGAAAACTAGCAATGAAAAAATAATTAAGTTAACTGGTAAATAAAGGTGTTTGATAAATTCTATTAAAATGATTTACATTCTAAAAAGTTTGTGTCTTGATCAATGCTTTTTTTTTTTAATCTTTGAGTCAACTTAGTGTAATTGTTTAGATGTTGAATATTTTGTCAGTGGGTTTAAAAGTTGAAAAGGCACATAAACCTTGATTTATGACCGTTTTCACCCCTGTCCATTGGTTTGTTTGTTTATCAGTAGACTCACGCAAAACTAATGAACAGATTGTTAGCAGGACAGGACATGTGCTAAGACAGAACCTTACATTTTACAATTTACACAAATTCCATTTTTGCATGGACAGAGACAAAGGGAGAGATACAGCAATTTTTAAATCATTTTCTTTTTTTTTGACATTTTCACCATGGGAATAGATTGACATTAAAGAATTAGGTATATTTAGGGAATGACATCTATATGTGTGATCAGTTTGGTTTAGCTTGATTTAAAAAGAGTGTGATTCTAGTTGGCTAACTTGTTATCAGATTCCTTTTCAGTCGGTGTGGGAACTGTTCACATACAGTATGTCCTGATTGTGTCTTTCATAAGATACATTGTTGCCTCTACTCCTAAGTGCTTGGTCTTTAAATCATAGTGTTGTTGATTGGTCACTCAGGAAAATGTTCATTGACGTATTGAGTTATACAAATGTTAAATAAAGTAAACATCCTTATTTACCAAGACTCTCTTGAGTACCTGTTGTCTCCACCCATTATCCTGTGAAAGCACTGACTTGGGGATGTGTACTGTGTGGCACCGCCTTGCCCAAAGGACACACTGTTTGTATTTGTATGACACTGTGTGCAGTTGTCTGCTCCCATGTGCTATGTTTGGCTGCTCTGTCATCTCAGCTTTGCCGTGATCTTTCTGTGAGATCTTTACATGTTGGGTTTGGGAGTGAACTGAAAGCAGGATGTGGCCACAGCTGAGTGTTACCAAAGATCAAGGAGGAGGCGGCTAAACACCAACACCCTCACTTTAACATTGAACTGTTAAATAAATATCACTCCTACACAGGTCGGCTTAGGCAATAGGCGTCATTTCCTGTACCCTTCACCTGTACCAGAGGATCAATCAGCTCAGGTGAGAGCTGTAAGCGGACTGATCCTCAGGGTTAAAAGGCAGCGGCAGAGCTGCCTCAAAGAGACACGCTGAGAGACAAGGACATGAGCAGAGACACTGAACTGAGCTGCAAAGCTGGATTCCAGCAGGATGTGCGGTTGTATGAAGAGTTAACAGTTTTTGTGAGTTGATGATTTAATAAAGATGCTGCAAAGCACCAATACCGTCTCTGGCTGTATGGAGCCCCATGTTGGGTGCCAGTATGGTAAATGACATGGGGTTCCCCCGCACACAGCCAGAGACAGTATTGGCATTAACTCCTCACTTCCACAAGGACGTGAATAATGTTTGCTTCATGTCAAGACGTTTCCAAAACCACGGTATACTGGGAGAAGTTCAGCTCTGAATCCTAATGGGTGAATGAGTTTGACTTTTGTTTAGAACAGTAATAAAATTCTCAGTAAACACACATTCATTGAATTGGTTGTTACACAGCCTTAGAGGAAATGCATGACTACTTGTGAAATTTAGATGGTTAAACACTCACGCGTACACACACACTGTACATTCAGTAGGAAACCAAGGCGGAAACAGATTTGATTAGCCTGCAGCTACAGTATGATTTTTATTAATGAGAACTGTGGGTTTACAATCTTGTCAAACATAAGCTTGGTATGCTAATGTTTGAAACATAAATAGAGGAATCAGGTATGCAGATGAAGCTGACACTGATGTAATTCTGATTGTTCATTCACACTCCTACAAATTCATGAGCACTACGAATGGCTGAGCCCTGATGTCTTCCTCATCTTCTGCGTCGACGGGATCTGGTGCTGGAGGGAGTGTTCGCCATTTCACTGCGGCCAAACACAGAGCAGTCGGTCTTGAGGCACCCACAGGTGTCAATGTGGATGTAGGTGTAGGTGATCTCGGTGTTGTCATTGCAGAGGAGCTGGACCTGCTTCTCAGACGTGGCCACCTCCTGGCAGCAGGAACACGTGTGCTGCAACGAGCTCATTTTGGGGGAGTAGCTGAGAGAAGAGAGAAATGATGGTGTGAGGAAAGTGGCAGGACGGGTGTAATAAAATCACTTTCGATTTAAATTTGAGACTTCAGAGCTACTTAGACAGCTCAGCTCATAGGATCGCATTCATGAAGGAATTAAGCAGATTCTTTTCCTCTGGAATTTCAATTTTCCGGCACTTTTCACTCATTAAAGGCAGTTCAGTACTCATGGTTGGTACCACCGAGCCAGTGAAATCAGTTGTATTTCGGAAGAGTGAGAAAATAATAAAAAGAGAGAAAATAACCCTGATAAGGTCTTGACCTTATTATGTTATGATTTGGCCCTTAAAAATGAACTGAATTGAATACCTTTTATTGTAATTTATTCTTCTTTTTGCCATGGATTTTTTTGTGAATCACTTTGTAACCTTGTTTGGATAAGTGCTATACAAATAAAGTTATAATTATTACGTTTTAGTGATGTCATTGATGTCACTTGTAGAATAAAGACATTATCAGACATGAATCTGTCTTTTATAAATCCTCTTTGTAGAAATGCCTATTTGTGCCTAAATGTTGTAAAATGTCATTCATGAGAGAACATTTGGGACATAATTTGAGTTATAATAATCAAATAGTCTGATTACAGTGTTTATTTAGGATCTTTTCATACATGTTCAGATGATAAAATAGTTCTTTTTTACAGTTTAAGCTGCTCTGTCAGTAATTTACTGCTCCTCTCTGTGTCATTTGCACTGCCAACCGATCACCCCGTCATCTCCTCTGGCTTTTCACACATTGTTTACACGTGTCCAATGACAGTGTGTGTGTGTTTGTGTGTGTGTTTGTGTGTGTGTGTCAGCATGACAGACGGGCTGAATTAATGAATGAATGTCTGAAGCTATGATGTCTGAAACTAAAGATTTTACTCATTTAAGATAAGTATCGGTGTTGATATTGTGGCGTGTGTGTGTGTGCATACGCGAATGTGATATGTGACATTGCCCTTTTCTTAAAAAGTGCCGTTATACCTTTCTCTCAAGTTCTGGTACTATCATTCATAAGTTACACAATTTGGTTATAGTCATCAACCGCTTATAGTGATCAATTTGGCCCGGACAATCACTGTAAGCTGTTTCCATTGTGTTAAGAATTCTCCATGACACAGAAAACAAGAAAATTGATAAAAAGGGGACTCACAAGCTGGAGGTACCACAGGCTCCACTGCACGATGTGACATTCACCAGGTGTTTGGAGCGACAGCCCTTGCTCTCCAGCTGCACAGCAGTGGTGGACACGCTGCATGGATGACCCTTCTGCACACCTGAGGCAGCCAGGACACATATCAATTATACTGTTCTACTCATGTTCTAACTTTACATATGTAGACGATAAAGATTATGGTACGAGCACTATGATTGCTTTGGTTTTCTTCTCTGGACTTATTTTGGCATTTTTGTCATTTAATGAAACTAAGCAGAAAGAACCTCTCTGAGTTGTGTGTTAATTGCTCACGATCAACAATAATAAACTGTCTGAAAAACACATGAGCAGATTTGTGAATATAAGAGGAGGCTTAATATTAGGCTCATCTATCTGGCTCATGAGCCTAGTCTACCTTTAACATGCTAAGAGTTGCTATAAAATGTAATAAGGCATTATTCTTCAGTCATGAAGACACGTGCTTATAAGCCCAGCTGTCAGTGTGACTGTCATTTTGTGTGACAGGTTAAATGCTCTAATATTTATCCTGGGGTTAGTGTAACCAGAGTGTAAGTCTGGTCATGTGACTGATTATCTAGCTTTGAAAGACTAACGGAAGCAATACATACAGACATGACAGCATCCATCTGGAGCTATGGTCTCTGTTCCCTGTGTGGAGATAAACAGATTCACATCAGCATTCTGTTGGGCCATGTTTCATTCTGTATAGATTCACATTAGACAGCAGGAGGCAGTGTGTTCATGCCACTCTACTCAAGTATTTCTTGATTTACATCATAATGATGATGAGGTGTGTGTGTGTGTGTGTTTGTGTAGAGTCTACCGGTATGCATTCATCGGGGTCGTAGAGAGGACAAACAGTCTTGGCCTCAACGGTGATGAACTGATTTCCGATCTTTACACACTCAAACTTCACACAGGGGCTCTCAGTGGGGGTCCAAGTGGTGCCAGGCTGAGGAATAACGTAACAGAATGTTAGTGCACAACCTCAGGCTGCATCAGTTTCACCATCATCTTCATCTACTCATCTACTCTATGGACTGATGGGTCAAAACCTGAAAACGTAAAGCCGCCGACCACTGGCTGTCACCATAAATAAAGGTGCACCTGCACAAAGTAACACAATGTGATCTGGCTGCCTTATTATTGTACCTAAAAGACCTCGATAAACTATAAATAAAATTGTATCTCCTTTTCTATTCTTCTCTCTCCAAACACACATACACTGCATGTGCACTCATAAACACAAACCTTTAAGGTGTGTGTTGCGTTGTTCGACAGTGTCACAAAACAGCCTATTTGGACACACTTTCCACAGCACTGGCCAGGGACGCTCTGGTACTCATAACCCTGAGGAGAGAGAGACACAAACAAAAAAAAACTCAACAAACAAAGGAAACATGAAAATGTAAAACCAGCAAAAGATCAGGTCTAGATGAGAACAATTGAATTTAATGTTGTGCTTAGTATTCAGTGGATTTGCAGTACAGGCTTTATCAACAGATAACTATAAATAAAAAAAGTCACATTCATGTTTTAGTGGTTATTTCTTGCAGTACAGTACAAAGATATAAATAAAGTTGGGGCATTTACAAAGCATTCAATGTTTTTGACTGAACCATGAGCACTCATAGACCAGTTAATCCCAATGAAAATACATATGAATGAGCTAATAGTAGAAAAGAGAAGTCAAATACAAGCGGGTCAGATACTCAGCTCTGGAGAATTTGAAAAGGTGCTCACCGACAGTCTTTTCTTGCAGTTAAACTCACAGACTTTTCCCACAGAGATTCATTTAAACCTTGTTTTGATTTTATTTTGTGTTTACGCAATAGTTTTATGTTATTGATGCACTTCCATATATGTAAGAAATCTAATGTTTAAAGTTTTAAATGAATTTACTCAATAATGGCAAAATGGATTTAATAGGAAATCACCATTAATCTGTCTTTAACGGCAGGGTAGAAGACATGGTTCATTACAGCTGAAAGGTTTTAAAAAACTACTAGAAGAGAATGCAGTTAGTGAATCTGCTCATCCGTAAATTCACAGAGCGTTCGCGTATGTAAGAATGAACTGACAGAGGGAAAACAGAGCAGTCTTACCAGAGGGCAGTGTTTGTCACATGGCAGAGGCTGACATTTGATCGAGTGCAGACGGGTGCTGGTGTCTATCTGGTCACTACAGGTGCAGCTTTCACATGGGTTCATGAGCACTGGGTCTCCAACCTGGATGGACGGAGAGTCGGCACAGTTACAGATACATGCGTTTGTTTATGGGGTGGGTAGAACATTAGAAAAACCATGCAGTATAGGACAGTCCAATACAACACCACTGTAAACTACAACTTCAGTTATAAAATATGTTACAACCACAGTGTCAGTCTAAAACAGATCTTTCTCAAAGGAGAATTTGTCACTGAGCAGATGCATTAGATTGCACTATATGTAGCAGGTGTATCTATGAGTGAAGGATGTAGGGAAATCTTTTTGGCGGAAATGGAATATTCAAAATGATGTTTCATTCATTTATAATCACCTGACATCTGTGTCCAAAGGCACGTACTAATCACTTTTTATAGTTCACTTTATAGTGAGTTCACCATTTTGTAGTGATGTCCAAACGTAACGTAATGTAATTTTTTTATACACTATAGTGGATTCATTTCTTCTCACAGTGCATGGTGAAAAATAGTGTACACCTGATGGTCACTAAGCAAGCAATATATACCATAATGCATTGCGCCCATGGCAGAGAGATGACAAGAGTATTAATACTTAGTGTAAAATTAACATTAACAAATTTATTGTGGGACTTCCAACAATAAATAATGAATCATTTGACAATCACGTATTTATCGGTGCAGAGAAAATGCACCGAGTAGCGTCCGAACGTGTTTTTTCTTTTGCCAATGAGCTCACTCTACAGTCCTTGTATACAAGTCCCTTTATAGTGGAGTAGGGGATAGTGAGTGAGTGAGTGAGTGGATGATTTTCGGACACAGCTCAGGGTTTGGTTCTGTTCCATGGAATTGCAGTGGCTATAGTAGCCCAGAAGAGACAAACCAAATGCTGGCTTTAGATGGGGCTCTTTTGTATTTTTCTGATACCCAAAGGCCTCTGCAGCTGCTTCTTCACACTTGGAAGGGAGGTGAGTCTGCAACATGACCACTAGATGCCACTAAATCCTACACACTGAACCTTTAAGTAGCAACTAGTATTTGTTATACGTAGAAAACATATTAGTATTTTCAAGACACGCACACACACACATAAAACTTTCAAATTACTTAACTTTTTTTGTTTCTAGGAAACATAGATTTCTGTAGATGTGATATGTCTCACCTGATATTCGTGTTTGTTGACAACACACACGTTTGGTTTAATCTCTGTGAAGGTAAAGGAGCAATCATTGAATTTATGTTGAATGTGCTGCAACAATCACAGTGGCAAAATAACATTCACACATGAGCATACTCACTGCAGGAGTATTTGACACAGCAGGCTCCCTTAACGGTTTTTAGAGTGTAACCAGCAGGACAGGGCGGCACAGAATCAGGGCAGTGCCTCACATCACACTCTGTTCACAGACACAGATAAATGAATGAACCAGCATTTTTCATTTGTTGCCTTTTTGTGGTGAGTAGCCTACGTATATCATCAGTCATATTCATTCTATCGCATGGACCCTATTCCTTTAATTTTTTATATTCTACAGCAGGACGGAGTCTACTGGTGGAACATCTTCAACAGCTGCATCAGAGGTCCTGTCCCACTGTAGCACAAGTTAGTGGACATCTGATAAATACAAAATCAATCAAGAATAAAGTGCTGCTCAGGATGTTTCCACCAGAATATACTGGGTCAGGTTAAACATGTGGAAATGTATATGTTAAATATGTGGAGTCACTGTGTATTGTATCATAGTGTTTTGACCAGGAAAGCTGTTAGTACAGTGTTAAGAGTTGCTACCTTCTTGATCCTCACTTACCACACTTCTCCTTCTGACAGCAGCCAGTAGTGTCAGTGACCTTGACCTGACCTTCTTGGTCACAGGTGAGCGGTGGCTGTGCTGGACAGGACACATTACGGCAGCTGACCTGCATGGTGTGCTCCTCACATATACACTCCTCACAGCCTTCTATCCATGTTGCATTAGCCTGAGAACACAGTGTTTATTTAACTTCTCTGGCACAATCACAGGCCAGTCAAAAGATTATGGAATAAGTGACTGTAGAAAAATGATTTACCTTCACCCATTTTTTGTTTCGCAGCTGACAAAATTCTGTTTGGAGGAAAATAAGTAAGTATACAGTAATTTCCATCATAGACCTCAAGGGCTCATGTTAATATGTAAATAGTGAATAGATCCAATCTGAAACCAAGTTTTAATTCATTTATTGTGATATAGAATAGATATATATAGAATAATATTACCTACTATACTGCCTCTTCATTTTGAAAAACATTGAGCTCATGGTTTAAAGCCCATCTAACATGTACATTTGGGATGTGTCCCTTTTGTTAGTCAAATAGAGGAAAGAACGTGAGGAGGGGTTAACAACATTCTCTTCCTGCGGCAAATCAATCCATGGACCATAGTCCAATACTCATTCATAACACGTAAACCAGGTCTCTTCATACAAATACCTTGGTGTCCACATTGATAGCTCTCTTACGTGGCTTGTTCATGTTGAAATATTTGCTCTCGATTACATCAGAGGATCTTTTCTTGAGAAAGCTCAGACTCTACTGTGTATGTAGCAAACATTCTTAGTGAGTATAATTCGCTACGGTATACAAGTACGGTCTGGTAATTCTGGTAAAGTATTCCCTTATTCCATCCTCCATCAAGATACTCGTAGTACTTTGTGATGAATTTCTCTCTGTCTATTTATCTATTTCTGTTTTTAAACTGACTACTGTCCTCTTATTTTATGGTCTTATCACAAACACCAGCATAAATACATACACCCAACCTATGAATGGAAGCATGTGTTCGACACACTGAATCTATAGGATGTATGTGTAGGGTGATAGGTGAAGGATGTTCGTACTTGTTTGTGTGGGTGTGTCTATTGTGATACATGTAGGCTCTATGTATTTGTGTGTGTGTGTAATGTGATACATTTTGTATGATGCAGTGGTCTGGAGCCCGAGACAAGTTTCACAATGGGACAATAAAATATACCTTACCTTACCTGGGTCATTTGCCTAAATTCACATACAGTATGTGCATCCTTAGTCTATTTGTCAGTTTTCTATCGTACCAGGGAATTCACTTTCCCTGTGTTTTGCAGGTTTAGGTTGAACTTTCTGACTGTTTTCTCTGGATTATGGATTTCTACCTGCTCCCCTTTGGACTTGTTTGTCTGTTTGTTTTGACTTAGTCACAAAATCCATCAAGCAGAGCACAACATTCATAAGTGCAGCAGAGCTTTTTGCTGTACAGCAGTGCCATCTCTACTTACCGCAGTTTAGCACACATTCATGTGAGTTGGAAGAGAGGGATAAGCTGCCACTTGGGCAATAACAACCCTCCAGCGTCACGTTTGACATGGCACTGTACTCATCGACAGTGTCTATGAATTTCTGGTTGTACCTGGCAGACACAACAGTATACAGTGTGAGGCAGCACATTCATAATCCAATGAAGTGATTACTTCAATTGGCAACAATAATGTGGAGGTAAACTGATATACCAGGAATCGCAGGTAGGCTCCACCAGAGGGCCACAGGCCTTATACACTTTGGGACTTGGACATTTATATTCTACAAGGAGAAGGCAAGACAGGTTTTTTTTAAGAAGATGTCTTTGCTGTAATGTTGTTGGTGATTTTTTTCTGTGTGTAATTTTGCTCAACATAAATATTGCATATTTGATTTGCATACCACAGAGTCCTTTCGTGGCACTCCTCCAGTCAATACACAGTCCAACCTCGGCACAGGCTTCGGCGTAGGATTTTAAACTACTGCAGCCGATGTGATGAATGTGCATGTGGCAAACATCAAACTCACAGCCCTCAACAAATGGAGTGTAGTCGATGATCTTGTGGCAAGCTTCAAACACACTGGGGATTTATAGAGAGAGGACACAAACTGAATGTATCACCTCTTGGCATTACAAGTTTGGACTGTAATTTAATTTCTATTTGCTGGTAAGGCTTTACACATTTATATTTCCATCCATAGAGTTGTGTATAAATTCAAGAATGTGTGAATTATTACATGTATAACAGAATGAATATTAACTGATGATTTAACCAGATTTTAGAGATGACATTTCTGACATTTTATTTCCTACCTGCTCTTGATGATCTCACAGATGGTGGTATTACAGGTATCTGGTGTAGGTGTTGGTAGGGGCTGAACTGGAGGTTCACAGTGACTGTTGTTAGTGTGCCACTTGTGAGCCATATGAGGACATGAAGGATCGATTTTGCCACTGGGCAACATGCAGTCATCTGTCCGGTTGTTGTCGCATGTGCCTAGAGAAATCCTCATCATTAGTAATTGGTAAAACATTGACACAACTCCAACTCAAGTGTTGTTTACCTGCTGAATCGCAAGGATTGTGTAATAATAATTTTAATATGAGCTCTTTTTCCCCCCCCAAGAATGAATCATACTGAAGATGTGTCAAACAGGTACAATTGGTTCTATTTGTTGAAAGTATCACAAAACTATAACTCTTATATAGTTGTAATTTAGCAACTCGTGTCCAAACTCAGACAGAGTGATGCTGTCAATATCTGCAGCAGGACTCACCACATTGTCCCTGGGTGTTGCCGCCAAATTCACTGTAGGGCAGGGAGATGCTGAATATGAGCCCTGAGAAGGTGACCTTGGCATTAATTTTCGGGATGATGAGCACTGTATCAATTCCAGTGGTGGCAATGCGGAAGTCATCATTCTGATATGTGGGACTTACAGGCTTGTCATTCAAAGAAATCTAAAAATAAATGCATAAAAAAGTGAATATCACAAATAACCCTTCTATAACCAACCCATTTTTTCTAATGCATTTACTCTCTCTTGTCTGAAAGCCCCTCTTCAGACAGTTTTACAAATTAGGATGAGGTCATTTATGTCCATTTATTAAGTCCAAACCTGTGGGTGCATTTGCACTGATGGTTCAGATAATGAAAAGATTTTTAATATTAATGGTGCCATTTTATTACCTGGTTTGTGAAAATGCCCTTAAAATCCTTCTGCGTAATAAAGATCTTGTAGCTTTTGTAGAAGACAGTGATGGATTGAGGACAGGACAAGCCATCAAGTGAACCGCAGTAGAAGTTATCAATCATAACGCTGAAGTTGTATTTAGGCAGGATCTCTTTCACCAGCCAGTAGGAGCAGTTGCCTTGAAAAGCATAGTATGTTCCGTCGAAGGTGACATAATGGGGGTCTCCCCAACCATAGCACAAACCTGAATAGGATCAAGATATTACATTTTTTAAATGAGATTTCAAGCAATCTGATATCATCTAATACACAACATCCATTGTTTAAAATAAGATTATACGATAGTATGAGTCAAATCAAACAAAATGAATAAACAAAACATCACTACTTAAAAAGCTACCATATGTTGAACTTGAAAATGTTGCAACCTGGGAACAAAGTGAAATAGGACAGACTTACATTGGCATTCGTAGTGGGGGCAACATTCATCATCATCCTTCACTTCAATAGCAGGGAAGGTATTTGCACATACTAGAGGCTTCTGAGTTGGACATGGTGTGTGTTTATAGGTCACAGAGCCGTTATCACATATTCCAGTAGTGCAATTCTTTTCCTTCCACGTTTCACCATGCTGTGATGAGAATCATAGGTTGGAATTAAAGAAAAAAGAAGGGGGTGGTATTCCCATAGAATAGAATATTGATGTACATAAAATGCAGAAAAAAAAAAAATATGTGAACATGAATAAAGAATCACCTCTCTTGGGGGAGTTACATCATGGCAAGGTCTCCTAGATGCACACTTGTAGTGTTTCTGCACTACATGACAGCTGTCATCGCAATACCCCACATAACAGTGGCCATCATGGTCTGTCACATTGTAGACTATGGACCCTGCGAATGAGGAACAGGAATATTCTTGAAAAAGGTTTGTCACATTTTTGAAAGCATGAGTTAAACATGCATAACACACAGTGATATACTGATATACAGTAAACATAAACTCACTCACATTGAAGTGTCCCAATGACAGATAAAGGAGCCTAACACTATCTCTATACAGTATGACTAGTATGAAGACACCCATGCTTTTGAAATTCTGCTTGTAAATGACCAGCTGGTATTAAATGTAACAGTAATGGTGCGTTCACAACGAAAGCAGGGCAAATGTTTTTGTGCTTCAAGATTACATAAAAAGTTACTGCAAAAACAAGAAAAAAAGCAATTCAAGGACGTCACAAATGTTGAGCTACTTCAGGCAGTTAAGCTGCACTGCTCTACTGTGATGAGGTCGGTGCCTAGATACAAAAAGTCTTCACTATGTTTTGCTGATTTAATAAGCATTTCAGATGTTAGTTGTCGGTCTGAAATTGTAAAAAAGTATATGTATGTAAAACCAAAGGTGAAAAAAACACAGTAAAACAGAGCATCATCCTACATATGACAATTTCAGACCAGAACTCTGGAAAATGTCTGGTCAATGGGGTCCAGACATTTTCCGGAGATTGCCTTTCACATATGAAGAATGCAGGAGATTGACCCAGACCATGACAACTGGAAAATGTCCAGTAAATTTGAAGAAGAACTGGTGTCCCAGTAGGGCATGCAGAAGGCAGGATATTACATATAAATTCTGCTGTGGTTATCACCAGTTTGTGTCTAAAGCACATTGACATCGGCATCTTTTATGTACAAGGCACCTATCTTTTTCATCGTGTGATATTTAAATTCATTTTGTTCCTTTTGTTTTTTTCAGTTGCATGACTATTGTGTGCAGCATGTTAGAATTATATCAATGCACCCACTCACTAACTGTGGAATTTCTGTACATTTTGCCACTGTTTTCTCATACAGGCTCATTCAGACACTTTACTAGGGTGCTGGCAGGAAAGGTTCTGGAAAAAGTCCAGAGCAACTGAATCAGACATTTGTATTCTCTTCTCTCTTCTGGGAAATATGCTCAGTGTATGTCTTCTACCTGTACATGGTCAAAGTTCAACCAGAGAGTCAATTTATTATATATCAAGACTGTTAATAGAAGTATCTCAACTTCCTTTTAGCTTAGATCTTTCTGATTGACTTGATTTCAATAGGATGACCAGAGTCAGTCTAGTTATTTACCCAATACATTGGTGCAAATTTTAGTCATTGCTCTCTGAGAAAGGGTTGAGAAAAGCTATATACCCAAATGAGGTTTGTTAATAAACCAAAGCAATGAGCCAAAATATATGGTAGAAGCCACAATGGTGTCTCCATCAATATTTCTCATCTGGAATCCAATGTTTAAAGAAGGTGTGCCTTTACTAACTTACCACTGGTGAATTTTGTACCATTATGAAAGCAATGGCAAATCTGTGGCAGTGTGATTGGTTGAGATGTTCCTCCTGTCACCACAAATATGGTAGTTGTTGGAGAAGTTGGTCCAGGTGTAGGTGCACTGGTGGTGGTAGTGGTAGTGGTAGT